ACTAAATCGGTGACGATTCTCATCTAATAAATATGAGATTTTGCGATGCGTTGTCCATAGGTTAACATTAACATAGGTTTCATTAACAATGTTATTATTAAGAAATGAATTTTGTATTTGGAAATATTCATTATTGAAAATGGCCGCCTGCTGGATGAAATCAAACAAAAATCACATAACCATTGATTGTCTCGTGGATTAAATCGTTTTGCGAATACCCGGTTAATATGGTTTATGTTATTTCTAATTTTCTTTTTACTAAAAACTTACAATTTTCCAGATCGAGTATCAGATATTTCGAATTGCAATTAATTTACTATATATATTCGATATATATATGATAGTAATAAATAAGCGAATATCATTGAAATCAGCCGAGCGATATTGCGTGCCGTGCTTAGTGGCATTGTTTTTCAAGCGTTTTTTTTTTGCTTATTTTTCAACTATTTGTCTCAGCTCAGTTTTAAACTAATCTCAGCCATAAATTTGTAATTGCACAACTATGTGAAAAGTTTAAGAGACCGCTTTTTTTTTTTTTTTTTTTTTTTTTTTTTTTGTTCAATATATTTTTTCGCGTTAAATTTTTTTTTTTTTTTTTTTTTTTTTTAGTTAGTCGCACAAGTGTCGCTGAATGTGTTGATTTTATTTGCATTGTTTGTCAATACTAAAGAAACAAAATGAATACAAAATGTTCATTCATCCCTTTTTAAAATTGCACGCAATGCACAATTTTTGTTCCCTAATTGCTTCTTTATACCGCCGCATGTTCAACAATTTTTCATTTAATTGCTCTTTTGTACTGCGAGTGCTAAAGAATGTACTAAACTTTTTTTTTTTTTTATTTATTTTGTATTTTTATGATTTACGTAGTTGTCAATACGCTGCATGTTTTTATGCTGCTATGTATTTGATTAATTATAGATTTCGGTGCAATTGCAATTTATATGAATATAAAACCGTATGTACGCGCGTATGGCGAAGGGGGCGCAACATAGTACATGATGGTTTTGTTAACCGATTTCTTGCCACATATGCGACAAGGATGAAACATCCATTGCAAATAGTATGTAGATCTCTGACCAAGAGAGTCTGCTGCGGCTGGTCTGCCTTCAAAAATGTGAAGTCAATTTTTTTTGACAAGTACTTTCCCGAATGTAAAGGGAATTTTTTTTTTTTTTATTGACTCCTTACATAAAGGAAGGAAAGTGCGAGAAGAGCCGAAATGTTTGCAGAACCAAAAAAAAAAAAAATAAAAATAAAAATAAAAAAACAACGCCTTTCATCAAAACAATGCGTCTGCTTGCAAAAGTATATCGGAAAAGACAACAAACAGTAAGGAGCTTGAATGACTTTCTATTCACCAACTCTTCCGTTTTTTGGGGTTTATTTAATTCCAAATTTTTAACATTTTTATAGCTGAAAACAGTTACGCATCCAGTGAAGTGAAAAAGTCTTAGCAGCAGATTTACCTAAGTTTTACATAAGTTTTTTTTTTGATTCCTATTGTAAACATATTCTTGTTCCTATTTATCTAATTTTTTAACATGCAGACACTAGTAATAAAAAATTTCATATCTAACTTAAAACTCTAAGCTAAAATATTTACAATTTTAAGATGTTTACTAAGAAAAAGGGAAAAATGGTCAGCTTTTGGTGATACCGGGCACGTTCGTCGATCAATTTAATTAAGGCCAAGTTTATTCTTCTATAGATTTTTCGGACAGAAGGACAGAAGAGCAGACGTTACTTAAATTTCACGTAGGCATCAGTTCGTGAGAGTATCCAAACTTCAAAATTGTCGGATTGAACATGAGAAGAATATTATATAACTCTTCGCTACCCAGGGGCGCAACGCTTCCCTATTCTAGCGCTAGGCCTTGTTACTCAAAAACAAAAATAACGTACTATTAAGCAGCCTTCGTGTATATACCATCACTTCTGATCAAAGTAAGGCCTATCCAAAATTTGGCTCCCTCTCTTTAGATAAAGCAACTGTTTGCACTGTGCCTCAACTGCATGACGCTTGTCGCATCACAACTCTGTTAAGAGGATATATCATATATTTTCCGATAATCAGAAGAAGAAGATACTGACATCTGTCACGTTTTCATACCCTTCTACAATCTGCGAACTGCCTTACGACTGCAGAGAAAAGCAGACATCTTCCGATGATGTCATAGCTGGCAAGAAGGACTGACTGATTATCAGTAATGACTAAATTGATCACTCTGTTTGTATGTTTGTATGTAGTGCGTGTGTATGTATATTCTAGAGCATATCTATCCATTATTTTCCACGCTAAGTATATATGGCGAATTTAATACGCTCCTGTAGCGGATTTCAAAATTATAAGACATTTTAATGATGCTTAGCTACTCAAGTGAGATAAATGAAAGTCTTAAGGCGTTACAATCACTTTGAAATGGTTATTTCGGGAGATGATGGAATTTGGATTTTTATTTTAAGTAAGATCTACTAGACTCTTTTAACATATTTTGTGTAAGTAACATTCTTAGGGGATGATTTTTTTTTTTTATAATTAAATTTTTGTTTTTTTTTTTTTTATCCAGATGGCCGTATACTAGATCTTCGATCTTTTTCTGTAAGACGTAGAAGTATTTACTCGTGAATAATTTGAGATTTAGAATCGATTGTACTCATGTTTTTCGGTTCGCTAATGCATCCACTTTCGTAATACTCAAAATGTAAAAGTTCGTCATAAAACCCCATAACAATATTCGATTTGAAAAAACTAAGACAACTTTGAGCATTAAAGTGACATTTCAGTGTATATCCGTCAATTATTCACGAATTTTAAGAGTTGTCAGCTCAGTAGCTCTCAGTAAACCTTTAGAAAAGATCCCCCAAAATTTTATCGAAAGTTTCTTTTTCTTTTGCTTCTTCCTCTTCTCCTTCTAGAATATTCAGCGAGTCAATAATAGATGAACCGCTTCACTAATACGACCAGAATTAATGGATAGGATTTCTTTAAGGTGATGATTACTCAAAATTCGTTCTAAGAATTTTCATTTATTTACCTCACTTTACAGCTTTATTTACTATTTTACTGTACTATATTATACTATATACAGTTACGAAGTCGTCAACTTTGTCCTGTGTAATCGCAAAAAATTCGGTTAGATTCTTGTCTTTATTATTTCCTTTTTTCTATTTATTGTATACATTCTTAGTCGTACAGATAAGACAAGTTGAAATACTTCGGAACACGGCGATGGTCGTTTCGAACCCCTAACCAATCTTAAATTGTTTCTTAAACGTCCGTACAAGGCATATTTAGCCATCTTCCAGTCTTCGATTCGACATTGTATACATATATGCATGTAAATGCAAATTTTAATCTCAGGTCATAGATAGTGCAATAAAAAAAAAAAAAAAAATGCTGATAGATATGCGTATTAGTCCGGGCAAACTTTTTCATGATATATCATAACTTTGATGTGAAAATTTATTCCATCAAAGTTTTAATTCGAATATCAGACAATTGATAATAGAAGCGGCTTCCGTAGAAAAGCATTAGTCGCTCGCTTAGCAGTCTCTACTCAATCTCATATGAGAGTAGAGTTTCTCCTAAACTTTTTTCGTATGGCTTTTAAAGAGTTTCTCGTTTACATTCACATTGTTAATCGTAAAGTTGATCGTAATTCCGCAGTTGAGTGCTCACACAAGTGGGCGTTGTAATTGAATTTTCTACGCATAAACGCCTATGTTTATGTTACGAGATGACATTGTCGCGTGTATAACAAGTTTATTTATTCCGTTCGTGGGTTAGTGCTTAAGCAAGCGAGGAAAAACCCATTGCTATATAACTAAATAGTGAACGCATCAAAACACACAATTTCATCCCCTTTAACGAAATATTATTTTTTTTTTTTTTTTGTGTGCATAAAAAAGAAAAAAGAGTGTGACAGTAAACTTATTTTTCTTGTATAAGTTTTCTCCCTCAAACCGAATTACAGGGGAGTTTACAAGTGTCATAATTAATTTGAATTTTGTCTTAAATAAAATCATAACTTAATCCCATTCACACATACATATGTACTTTTCGAAAATGAATTGTGAATAAATTATCAAGACACGTAAAACGATAACAATTATTGCACTCAGAAAATAACTTACACTGAACGAATCCAGGAAAGACGTGTGGTCTCGACCTTCACCTTTCTTATTTTATTACAGCTATTGGATCAAATATATACATATCAAAGTACAATTACATAAATTTTTTAATTTTTGAAATGTAGACAAACATATATAATTTTTATTTATGGAATTTTGTTTTTTTTTTTTGTAATTTTTTCAGCTTTTACTCACCACCTTAAGAGGCAAAATATGGTATGATTTTCATTTACTTTTTAAAAGAATTACGCAAAGATCTCGCGCTTTTCAATATTCAAAATCTTAAACAACTTGACATCCTATTGACTTGACATATGCAAGTTGACAACATTAGAAAAATTTAAATTAGCAATCATGGCCAGATTGCAAACTTCCAAAGTTGCTCCAGTCACTTTCTTATCTCTAAGAAATTTTCATCGCATTCTTTTAGAATAGTAGGAAAGTTGTGCGCTAAGAATTTCAAAGTTTTTATATATATTCTGTGTATTTCAGAAGGGCTTTCTTAAATTCTTACCCTCGGAGGTTTTTATTTCATGATACGAATTCTTTAACCCAGAAATGAGATTCTACGACATCGATATATTAAATGGGTGCAATGCAATGTGCAAAAAGAAAACTGAAGAAGTAGTTCATCTTAGTTTATAAGGTTCGCATGATAACAAATTAAATGTTAATCTTCTCTTTGAGTTGGGATTGCATTTGATTTCCATTTGAGTTTTGATACTCAATGGGTTACCGTAGTTGGCTCTTTACTGTATATTGACTTTTATGAGTCAATCTGAATATGTATACATCTATGTATATATACACACATATATATATATATATATATATGTTAATTGTGGTGAATATTGCACGTTCGATCGGAACCGAACTTATATCTATTATATAGTTATGTGTAACAAAAGAAAAAAAAAAAAATAAAATGATTTTATACTGGCATTCCGACAATTAACTATAGATCAGGAATTCTGATTTACTAAACGGCAGGCTCTCCGTTTCCATATCGTAGAGGAGTGGGTCAAATTATATTTGGCGGTACCTGGGCAGGCATTGTTAAGATAGGCGATGTTTTTGTTGATTTTATACAACCGTATGATGATATACCTGTACCGTTACTGCTTGGTGGAGAAGGCGGTGCTTCGGGACTGATTAGAGGTGTGCAGCCAAAATAGCGCCAAGGATGATATAAGCTGCCCGTATACATAGCTTGAAGACGAGCTTGAAGATCTAAGGCAAATGTCGGATCCAAAGGATAATGGGATAGTGTCGGTGGAAAAGCACTGGGCACTCTTGTTGACATATTTAGTGATAGCTCTACTGGTGAATTAAAACTGTATTTTTGAGCATTTAAAGTAGGCGAAGCTTGAGAATTTCCTGGATATAAACCGTTTTGCTGGTTGCGTTGTTGATGAATTTGTGCACACCCGGAGTTCAATTGTGAAGACTTATGGCTCTGGTTGCAATTTTGATTCGCAGGCACAGGTGATTTGTTTAACGTTTTTGGCTTTCGTCGCGGTCTATATTTATAATCAGGATGCTCTTTCATATGTAAAGCTCTGCAAAATAATTCATAAAGGCACACATTAATGGAATACTACTATGATTCGTTGTTTTACTAAAACGAAATCAAGTTCGCTTCGACACAAAAATTTTGGATCAGAGTACCTATGAATGAAATATCTCTGAACTACTGTCTCAGACAAATGCATGTTTCTTATATCCACCACTGTAACACAGGAGTACACTACTATACACACAAACCTCTTCGGACACCTGTGGACATATATACATACCATCAAGCAGAATTGCGATAATTGGTTTAAAAAAACTGTAATTTTTCGTGTATTCCATCTTTGAGCCCAATATATAAAGTTCTAAAATAGTCATCTCTTTCCTTATACAAGATCTAACAAGTGAAAAATTGTGCGCCGTATCTGAAAGCGAAAATCTTACTAGCTTTTCACTATTACTTAGTACAAGTCTGTATGAGATAATAATCAGATGTATGGATAATATTTAGTAGAAGTTGCGAGCGTCCCCTTCATGCACCCAACATAAAGAGGGAATAATGATTTTCAATAGTTTATCTAAAGCGGATGGCATCTATAGATCGTTGTGGGTATAGGTTTTGGATATAGGTTTTTCAGACGTTCTAATCCGCGCCTGATTCATGTCAACAATATAAAGTCATTAAATAGGTAAGTGATATCTAATTTTTTTTGTTTAATTATCATTGCACTTTCGAAGCGCATATGCTTATTAACTTTTTAAACTTACCTTAAGCGTTTTGCTTCGTCGATAAATGGACGTTTTTGTTCTTCGGTTAGTAGCTTCCATTCAGCTCCTAAACGTTTCGATATCTCTGAATTATGCATTTTCGGATTTTCCTGCGCCATTTTACGTCGTTGTCCTCGCGACCATACCATAAACGCGTTCATTGGTCTTTTTATATGATCGCATTGCGGATGCGTTTGATGATTATTGAATTCAGCGGATTGAGTGGACGTTAATAAAATATTTGAATTATTGTTGGCAGCAGTAGATAAGTTTGAATGTTTCATTGCAGAAGACATATTAGAGCTTGCGATTTTCTAAACAACTAAACAAACTCTCTTTTAATGAATGCTTTTTTTCATTTCATATTGCGTACATAATACGAGATATTATATAATCTGTTAACACATATTTGTAAAAGGGAAATAATTAAAATTATAAACAAATCCTGCAAACACCTGCAATCGATAATAGGCAAAAAAAAAAAAAAAAAAAGGTTCCATAAGGCAAAAGTTACATACTAACTGGAAAAATTTGTGCATATTTTTTACGGCAATTTGTCAATTAGAAGGCAAAAAAGAAATAAATAAACTTTCAATTCTATTCACGCTTCTCACGTTACGTATCTTTTATGGCTTTGGTTTTATTCAAACTTATTGCTCGGGTTTCGGAATTTTATTTTTTTCCTACACATGTAAGAGGCCTTCCAGGGGTAATGCCTAAAAAGCATGTATTTTTTGTCAATTTGTGAGATGGAACGAAAGTAATTACAAGAGTAATTACATACCTATATATATATTTAAGTATAAAAAAAGTTTAGAGAAGAACGTATAGAATGTAAAAAATGTTGACTTGAAAAAAAGTACAATTTTAATATTTTAAATTAAATTTGCCGAAAATCCTTCTACGCACCACTCTTTGAGATGTTATTTGAAAGACATAATAAAAAGTTCGCATGATAAGAAAGAAAATTGTCAAAGTTGTTTTACAGGCAGTTTTGTAATCTTTTGTCATCTTCAAAAGACAAAAAACCTTTCAAGTTGTCAAATACATTGCAAGCGTATTCTCTGATTATAACCTAATCCTATTTTTTACTCTTTACTTAGTTAGCAATGTCGACGCCATAAAAATGTCCTCTCATATTCAAATATCCTTCGCCAGTTTCTTCGCTCCAAGATTTTATTTTAAAACGTCCCGCTTTTATGTTTTACGTGTTTCGAAATGACAGAAAAAATAATAATAGCCCGGGCGGCAGGTTGCACGCATAAGATACACTATTTGCGACGATTCAAAGCGCCTCTTTCTCGCTCACTAATTATCCTATGACGAATAATATGACATTAATGATAGTGCGTCCTTGCGTACATATTTATATCAAGACTTGCACTTGTGGATACTTTAGGTAATTCCCTCCAAGCAGAGACCTGAAAATCATATTTGTTCTGTAACTTTTCCAACAATCAAAACCGAGTCACTCTATAGGCCCAGCCAATTTTACTTACTAATGTTTAGAGGGCTTTCTTATCTAAATTCAGTGAGCATAGTGCTTTCCTAGAAATTCGCTTTCAAAGAAATCTGGCTTAAACTTGACTTTCAACTGTCGGAACTTTTTCCAACAGCTTTCACGTTTCCAGAAATGATAGATTAAATCGAACTAGAGAGATTCCGTTACAGTAATCCTTCCGTTGTACTTATTCGAAATGTTAACTGTTCCTGATATTGAACTCACTCTTGCTCGACTAAAAATTGATAATCAAAAATTTACTTTTATCTTGTTCTTACATTCCCTAATATATTGATGTTTCCGTCCATAATAAATTTGATATTTTAATTCGCGATGTTCTTAATACTTTAAGTGCTACTACTTTTGTCATAGTGTTGGGGACTATTTAACTTACCGCAAGTCTCGTGGTATCCTAGTGATAACTGAGGTTATGGGGCCACTATTACGGTATCTGATAGAGTTAATGTGTTTATCAATGGACTACATTTAATCCGAATCACATTCCGCATTATAATCAGAGCCTAGTGGATCTTAAGTTTGAAAATTGCCCTGAAATGGTTGCAAATCGGTGCCCACTTTTTAGTTTAGTTACCTAAGGGCTCATATCACTCAGCATTGTGTTATGTTATTCCCTTTACAAGCAAGATGGCCCATTGAACCACATCTCACTTATTGACCAAATATTAAGCTTGGCTTGTTCACTGAAAACATAGAGACGCCTAACGCCCTCGCTTATTCTTATCTATTTCCAAATCTGTTCCGATCAGGCAACTCCCTCTTTGAAACGCTTGCCCACCGTGTTTCAAGAATGCACTTAAATACTATAACAATAAAGGGAATAAAGTTGAAAATGAGATGTGGCTCTGGGCAGGACTATTTTAATTACTCTATTCCTAGATATAGAGTTAGTTAGAGTTAGTTTTACCTCAACCACCAAATTTATTGCGTATACCTCTAGAAGATAAAATCTTCACATCTTATTAATCCAAAATATATTTAGAAATATTGAAACTCTAAAGGAGAAGTTTCCACATTTCCTTCCTTTATTGCGGCCTCTTAACAATTTAACTGTGTATGATGAGTATATGCACCCTGATCATTGTTGGATTTGCTCATAAAATATTATCATTACAACCTAATTTGATTACTTCGTATATCCTGTGTTTGGCTTATATATCGCTAAACAGGTTGACGCAACTAACTGGTTAATGCCTCCGGCTCCTTTGATTTATCATCAAATTTCGAAACTTTTCACCGAATAATTTCAACGTAGTTTTACTGCCATGTTTTACTACCTGAGTTAATTGAATTACTGAACATGACAGTTACGCGTCAGGTCATGATCGCGTCCCGTCACATGTACCTAAATCGTGCGCTGAGGAACTATACGATATGATATTAAATGTAGTTAGTTTTTCTCTGAATATTGGGAAGTTTTGGTTGGGGTTGAAGGGTAGTTTTCTCACTTCACTGCCCAACGACATCTCGTTGAGAACTACACAGGCATTGGCTAGTGAAAGATTTCATGCATATAACTACGAGCTTTTCAAACTTCAAACTTTTTAGCAAGAATCTTCGCAAGAATTTTTATGTTATCTCGAACTAGGGTTTTCTCATAACTGCCAAATCAACTTTTCTTAACGAATATATCTCGTCTATGTCGTGCCTAAAGTAAGCTTTAGCCTTTAATGTTTCGTACTATGAACCAATTACACTTAATATGTTTACTACTATCGGTCGCTAAGCTTTGACATGCTATAGCACTCTATAGCTACTTAGCTTCGATGCACACTTGCTGCGAACGTGGCTCTTTCTCTACTAGGTGTGTATATGCTTGTATGTATGTAATACGCAAAAGGAAGCTTCAGACACCCGATCAAGTATCTTAATTAGCGTGAAATTCTGAATCGATTAACCCATGTCTGTCCCTCTGAGGGGTGTTTGTGTTCAGCACTCTCCTGGTCGCATAAGTAAAGACATTGACTGTAAATTTCGTAGAGAATTTAGGGGTTTTTTGCACGCAGGTTGGTATTGAAAACGAGTTAAATTGGTCAAAAGCAGAAGCCCGCAGTGGAGTGTAAACCGAATGCAGCTTCGTTTTCCTTAACAAAAATTTGTGGATTTTTTTCCGTTCCCCTTAAACTGCCAGCAGTTGGAAGGCTGAAATTTTCCACATTTACTTTATAAAACACTCTACCCTTTATGTGCAAAAATTGAAAAAAAAATCGTCCATCTCCATATAAAGTTACAAGTAATTCAATTTTATTTTCTTCACTTTCTTCACTGAAGTGTTTTGCGTATATGTCATAAGGCAAACAAGACATAAGATTTAAAACTATCTTTTACGTTCCTCAAATGAAGATATATTATCTGCCTAAAAATGGGTTAATACGCCAACGAATATGATAGACACCGTGATCTAGTGGATTAATTTTTTATTAATAATATCAGCGATATGGATATCAAATAAAAGAACTTGAAGAGTAGAAGGCGATAAGGTAAGTGCGTTAATTCTAAATTAATTTTTGGTAGATGTCACGACATGCTGCATAAATTTTCTCTTAAAAATACCGTTAAAAGGGGTTTGCTAAGCTAACCCTCGAATGGGTGAAAGGCCAAGTGCGGCAATTCGTTATTAATTATGGTGGACGTCATACGCTTTGGTGAGATAAGAGATGAAAAATAAATTTTATCTCATTCACTTTTTTATGACGAGAAATAGAAGCATGGGGCGTCAAAACTTTTATCGGTGATGGAGATGCGAGCTTTTAACTTTCTTACCTGTTCTTTTTGTTCTCTTACTCTTGTCGATTTTCTTTGTTTTTATTCATTAATTATTTTTCACATTTCACAAAAGTTCGGTCCCAATGTTTAGTGTAAGATTCATTTTTTTTTTTTTTTTTTTTTTTATTATTATCCCTTGTAAATAATTAAATAAAAAAGTGTTGCCATTTTCGCAAAATATTTTCGTCAAGTATTGCTTGCATATTTGTACCGAATTACATGTAATATAGAATGTAATTAAGAAAATGTATTTAAGAATAATTGGGGCGCAGGCGGGTGTAGCGCTGTTGATTGTATTATTATTTATTTCCGAATTCGTTCAATTTTCTTTTCAATGCGTCGGTTCAATTTGCCAAGAAAAAGTGCTAAACTAGTAAGTTATCCAAATCACTTACTCGGTAAACTCGATTCGTTAAGAACACTTTCGTAGACTAGTACAATATCCTTGTCTACTACTTTGATTTCTGTGTCTTATTGATGCGTGAACACTATCGTAGAAACGCGTCAATACGGATCTTTCACGAGATTTTCCATTATTACGCTTAAAGATTGCAAATCGGGGATAACCCCGATATAAACTGTTAATGGCTGAGCGGAAACCCCTTACAACGGGTTATTGATAATTTTTAAAAGTTAATGAAACCTTGTAACTAATAATTAGCAGACTTTAGTTATTCCTTAGGTCACCTCAAACGAAGAAAATAAAAATATGGCACTTTTTCGGAAGACGCTGTGTTTATGTTGTGAGAGGTGGGTATTTCAACGGCTTTCGATTCATAATCAGAATGAAATAATTAATACATCCCCTTTTTCGATCATAATTAAGAATGAAGTATATACATATTCAGGAGCGCCTATCAAAAACTCTAGATAATTTTGATTGCTTGCTTATGAGTCGCAGTGATTTTAGTGGCGTTCCTTTTGCTACTTCTCAAGCAATGAGAAAATCTGAGTTTTGTGTGTTGATAAAAGATTACCTTTTTTTAAGAAGTGATACCGATCAAAGAAGCTATTGCGACTTCTATCCGCCGGGGACAAAAACTTTTTCAATGGTTTGGTTGATTGGATGCGATCGACAGAGTTAACCGCAACGGATGTCCACCAAAAATTTTAATTACAATCGAAAACATTAGAAAAATATTGAAAATTATTTTCGATTATGGAAAGGCAGACTTACAACACATAACTGACATCGTGAAATTATCAAAAGACAGTGTACTCACTATTTTGCACAAGAATTTGATCATGAGGAAATTCTTTTCGAAATGGATACGTGTATCCATCATTAAACAAATTGCATGAATTGCTGCCGCATCCTATTCCCAACATCTGGCCCCCAACGACTATTTGGAAATCTGAAGTGAATGAGTCAAATGTTGCGCTCGCTGAAGTGTACATTGAAAAAATAATTTCATAAATAAGCCACAGAAATGTTTGAAAAGCGTTGGACTGATAGTAGGTTATTGTGTTGATGAAAAAAAGCCCATTTGCATTTAGTCTTGCCAGATCGAAATAGCTTTCGCAGCATATACTTTCCGTAACGTGGCTAATGTCTTTTCATAGAGGTCCGACTTGTCTAAATCCTCCTCTTACTCATAGCGTATCTCACATTACAATGGCATTTAGAAATTAATGAAATTTTTTTATTACTATTATCTTCGAATGATAAACACGTTGATCGTGGCCTCATTGTCAGCGTCGGGGACACGTTTAACTAAATCAACAAAAAAAACATTTATCGCATTTCATTAAGCCACCAGGTTAGAGTTCTATAGGAAATGCAAAAATGCCTACAAAAATGCATTTTTTGGTACGCAATTTATTTTCAACAACCAGTTCCACGTCCTAGCTATTATTGCAGCATGCCATTTCTAGGCAAACTACAGGCAACATTTGATTTGACATAAAAAACTTGGGATCGGTTTTAAAATAAACATTGATTAGCATCCGAAACTTTTCATAAAACTAACATTACAAATTTGTTAATTATTGTTGTTGGCGGCCAACGTTTTACTGAGTAGTCAGACAATTGGCAGTTAATCACTTTTAAACCGATCATAGTTTTTTTAAAAAAATTATGGTATAATTTCAGTTTATAATGGGTTTGAAAACTTTGCTCATTTCATCGCCATGTTTAATAGGATGTTGAGATGCCGCCCTTATTGGAACTTTTCGGTACATTTCTTTAATATTATTTAATGTTTAAACTAACTAGAAGATTATTTGGTAACCGCTATAAATGGAAATACATACATTTCTCAGAGGCGTAAGAAGGACAAGAAGTCACATCTGCCAGAGCAGCTGTTACGAATACGCAAAAACTTGATATAGTTGATCATAGTGACCACACTTCGGTCAATTTTCGAATCAAAACGAAGTTTAAGGTGAATAGTTTATTTAGATATGACATAGGCAGGCAAAGCGAGCGTATTGAGGAGAGTTGATTTGATAAAATTTAAAAAATCCGATAGTGTAATCAAACTGTAGATAGCACGAAGTAATACCGATGAGTCAATCCTACCGTTTCATAACCAAGGATATATTTACATTTCTCAAGTGACGGTAAGAGTAACGAAAGCAATTGACTTGCATAAGGACGCAAAGAACCCAGCGAGTTCCAATCTAAATACGTAAGGACAACGGACAGAAATTGCTTTTGAACGGCTTCTATTGAATCCATAAATCACCAGTACGATGAAGATCGCACAACGCAGGCATATTCAAATATTCGCCTACAAGTGTATTAGGTAGACTTGTTGTAATGTATGTGAATCGATCATCGTTTCATAAAACTTAGCGCCTATCTATCTTTATTTAACTAGAGCTCAATATATATATATATATATATATCAACATGTAGTCTTTGATCGAATAAAATCTCTAAGTTAATGAACGAATCCATAACTATAAATATGGATTGAAAATAAATGAAATAGAAATTTATCAATCTCACATATTATATAACAGCAGGGAAGAAAGTTAAATTCGGTCAGGGCCGAATCTTTTATACCCATCGCCGTTATCCTAAAAAAGATGAAACAAGTAAAAGAATATGGAGGGGGCGTAGCTGATTTCTTCTATTTTCAAAACAAAAATTTTTTTGTAGTATAAACATATGGGCGTGTCCTTTGAAAAGTTTAGGTCAATTCTAAATTCTTTTGCAAATTTGTTGGCGATATTTTCATTTTCGCTTACGTTGGGAGATACTACACATTGGCGCAAATAAACCGATGGACAGACATGCCGAGCGGACATGTTTAGGTGTATTTCAAATTTGAAACTGGCCAACAATTTATATACTTTCTAGAATTTTTAAAGCTTGTTTCCGCGCCTTATAAAGGTATTGAAAAAACAATTCAAATTTGATACACTACTATATAGGAGAGGCGTGATCAATTTTTTCCATTTTTGTGCACGAATCTAACAGCATCGTCCATAGAATATGCGTTTAATTTTTTGTAGATATATTTGCGGACAGGAGACTATTTACAATAGGCATCACACAAAGGGACAGACGGACATGCTTAAATCGATTTAGAATTTGATGTTGATCAAGAATATATATGCGTGTGAGGTATCTGATGCTTCCTTCAGAGACAGAAGGAAGAAGGAAGAAAGGTTTTGACAGAATGAATATACGCCCCGTGATGTGTAGAAAAAGTCGTGCTTATCATTAACAAAAATTCTGTTCTGTTCTGTTCAATTGCGCGCAACCCGTATTTGTCCAAAAAAAAAAAACCCATTAAAATGATATTTTGTAATAAACGTTCAGAACCCTTTATATGCCAACTTTTTTTCACAATAACTCTTAGTCATGTTACCGAACTCTCGTATTTGCTTTTAGATTTCATCTTGAATAAAAATTTCGAAAGGAGAAAAAAGAATTTTACTAAAATTGTCTTCGTCTTCTTCGGTTTTGTATGCGAAATCGCTGGAACCTTGGCTGCAAAAATAACTGAAATTATTAGAAACGAAGTACATAGCGTTTCATCATGAACATGAATGTGCTTTAAGCTCGAATATAAACGGGGAACATGGACGAAATGCATAACTATGGCATAACTATGGAAGAAGATAATGTGATATGTGAGAAGATATCTTACGATGACGATTGCGATTGCATTGCAATTCGCTTCATTGCGAGAAAATCAATTTTCTGCATCATTTTGCAAAACGATGCAAGAATGTCACCGATCAAGCAACGTTTCCATCGGATATGGCTATTTTCTAAAAATCAAAATTTTGCCTTTGTAAAATAATAGATTCACTTGGCGCTATCAGAGTAAAAATTCGTAGAATTCATTTACAGCTATTTTCGCAAGCATCTATTAAAGATGATCCGATCCGTTGGCATCAATCTATTGCCTCAAGTGAAGTCTTATTCGGCGAATAAGAAAGAGTGCAAACATTATAGAACGATAAAAAAAGAATATTTTTTTTTTATTTTGTCCTTTAACAATGCGTTTCGCGAGTAGATTTTCGTACATATAATCTCTTTAAAGTTGAAATTTTAAAATAGAATTTGAAGCAAAATTTTGGGAGTAAAAACACAAAATATTGCAACAATCAGCATTTGAAGTGAAAATGTAAAATATTTTATCGATTTGAATTTATAGATTATATTCACGATCCGATTACTTTGCTTAGTTTAATTTGAACTTTAACTGTTAGTTTGCGAGCAGTAGATTTTTGTGATTACAAATGAACGTAATGCGGAGATATTTGTATTGGAAAGCCGGAGACCATTCTTCAATTTTATTTTCACGATTGAATTCAATAACCCTATGACATTAATCAATGGATCATTAAGAAGTCGTTACATATATTTCGTCTTTTATTTATTTTAATTAGGGCGTACTCGATTTTGAAACACACCATACAATCGTTTACAATCGTCAGAGCATGGAACAATGAAATAATATATTGTAATGACATATAATACTGTTCTTATCTCTGACAGATTGGAAAATTGATATCAAATCGAGTCAATTTATGATCTTTTGCTTCTTGAAAATTGATGTTAATATAATGTTCTGTGTGTCGAAAATTTTTATAAATTGAAAATATTACGGTTTCATAATGCAATTGATGTCTTAAACGAAATTGTTAAGTGACATAACGTTAAATTGGTCCACAAGGATTTACGAATATACCCCATCTTGGCCGATGATTAACAAAATTGTAAATTTTACCTCTTCAAGTAGAAGTAAAAAACTGAATAAAAAAAAAAAAAAAAAAAAAAAAAAACGATATTTGTTGCTTATAAACGTAAGCATCAACGCAACGCAAAATAAGAAATAGAATATTTCTTGGATTGCATGCAACGACTACGAGTCATTCAAATGCGAATCAAATTAAAAATTAAAAAATCAAAAAAAAAAACCAAAAAGAAAAGAAAGAGGGAAAGGAAAAGGAAAAGTCAAATGCAATATATCGAGAACTGCATTAAATTGATCACCTGGTTTATTGCTTAGAGGTTATTCGACTAAATATGCTAATGTTAATGCCGTAAACAAATCCAACTTAAATTTATCTCTTAACGAATAATTTCATTTGATGAGCATATTTATTATTTTTCAAATTGTTTTTGTTATTATTATTGTTGTTGTTGCTTTTTTTTTTTTTTTTTTTTTTTTTTTGGACTGAGTTTATTTATTATTATATATGTTATGCATTACTCCTTTAAGGACCGATATGTACGTTCGTTCATTGTTAACAGTTTCGCTTTTTTTTTAATTCATCCTCTTCGAAATTTCAAACTTTTTTATATTATATGTACAGTAATGGACATTCGTATAACAACAGGCAATTTATCTCTCATCATCAAGTCTCAAGTTATAGTAAAAAAATGTTTTTTCAATTAAATGTTTTATGTTGCATATCGGTTTGTGCTTTGCTGCATTATCTAACCAACGAAAGAAAAAATCCGGAATTTCGAAAATATCGAAAGGTATATATATATATATATATATATGTGTTCTTATAGTAGTTACATTAGAGACAAAAAAATTGCTTTCCACTTGTAATCTTTACTAAAGAAAAACAAAAAAAAAAAATAATAAAAATATATATATTGGACTTATGCTATACAACATTTTGATTTTAATGGAATTTCCCTTTTTTTTTTTTTTTGTTTTTTAACTCGTGTTTCGATTGTTTTTTTTTTTTGTTTTTCATTTTACGGCAAAAAGTAAGAAGAATGATGCCCGTCAGACATTGAGACCGTTACTGCTCACTATCCCAAAATGAAATATAAGAACTACTTACGTGGAACTAAGTTCAAAGCTGGCAAGATCGAGCTATAGCTTCGATCATATTGGCGGAAATTGAAAAATTTGCAAATCAAACTTTATTTCCCTTATTCGATGACATATGCGTTCCGGTTACAGTCACTGCAGTCACGAGTACACTACGATATGTTATGCTAAATTTTTTTTTTTTTTTAGTTTCATATGTCGTAGAGAATGATGGCTTTTGTGCGATGAAAAATTCGTGGTTTACTGAAGTCTGTCATATATTTCACATCAGTGTTATATGCATATATATAAATGCTTAGTCTCACAGACTATGTTACGCTTAAAATGGGTTCAAATATTTTCGAAGGCATACAGAGTCTTTAATTCAGAAATATAAGCCAGGCCGACATCTGTCTATGGCTTAAATTAAGAAAAATGAATTGAAAATATATTTTGAGAGAGAGAGAGAGAACTATGACAATATTTGCGAGACTTTAACTACACTATTACTCGACGACTTTTGAATGCGTCGTTCATTTACAATTAACAAACTAATAAGCGATTTTTATCTATTTAGTTGTCTTTCGATGTTGGAAGAAATCGTAGATATACTTTCTCTTTAAATTGCAATTAATTATCATTTGATGTTAGAATCGTCATGTTTTATTGCTTGCATGATAATTGTTTGCTTAATAATTACTCTTTTTCCCCATTCCATGCAGGTACGGTTAGATCTTAACCTTTTGCTACAAAATATATACTTTTAAAGGTATCTAAACCGTAAGAGCCTGATGTGACAGCAGTGTTTTTTTTTTTTTTTTTTTGCTAAAAATTTCATTGCATTCTCTCCTTTACGCTCTAGCGAAGAATATTGCGATTCTTTTTAATAATTAGCACAAGTAGCATAAATTTAAAGAGTATTCGCCTTAAGTACTTTGAACAAAGTTCGTCTTTTAATATCCTAGCAGTGTGTTTTGCTTTTTATTCAATTACTAAGAACTAATTAATTCATTTTAAGGATTCTTTGCGTTTTTTATATGTGTAGAGAGCATAAAAAAAAAAAAACAAACAACCGTGCAATTGCCTAGAATTGAATTATCTGAGAAATTGTCCCGCTGTCTCGAGTTAGGTAACATCTAAGCGTTCCAAAGTGAAATACGATGCGAGTGTACGAATGTCTATCACTGTATACATGATGCGCTATTGCATGCAGATGATCGATAGATTATAAGTCTTTCTCAAACAGCATATATATATATATATACATATATATATATATATATAAATATATATATATATCTGTGCATGCGTCTATATCGGAATAAATTTTTATATTTATATTTTACACAAATGTGTGCATATGATGAATGATAATGAAATAATGATATTTAGATTTATTTATAATGTTTTTTTCTTTTATTTCTTTTTTTTTACATCACTTTACTAAATTAGTTGAAAATTGTAATTATTTATTTATTTAAAGTTGAATCTTATATATTTATATTTATATGTATAAATAGTGATCTAAAACAACGTATCCGTTAATATAATTTTTTCTTATAGGGTCTTTTTTTATTTAATTGTAAGATGAAAATTAATTTTATTTTAATTTTTATGAATATATTCGGAGTATTTTTTATGTGTTGCTTCTTCTTCTTTTTTTTTTTTTTATTTTTTTATTTTTTATTTTTTAATTTATTTATTTTTTTATTTGAAGAGATACGTTGCGGCTTTCGTTTTTCCGAGCGCGCGTTGTGTGAAACGTAGTACTGAAACACGAAATGAATGTTATTGCCGTTCGAAATGTGTATCAACGTCAATGTCAGCGAAACTAAAAAACAGTAACCAATGTGTTTGCATTTGAGCACTAACACCCTGTTGGGTGGCGTATTTATGCATAAATGCGTTTGTGTGTTAGTGTTTATTGGTGTGGGATAGAGCCTTAGACAATCGTTTGTCTGGCTCAGTTTGTGGTTGGAAGTGCCGCGAAAATCATTTCATATCACTTGCATTGTTGGTTGGATTCTTCTCTTTATAGTAGTAGTTTATCTAACCGTACAGCAATTGTTTCTAAGTTTGTCAATATGTGTATGTGTATGTGTATGTGTTTGTGTTTGTGTATGTGTATGTGTATATGAATAAGGATGAATTACGTATATGTGTGTTTATTGTATATGCTTGAATTTTATATCAATGCATGTGGCTGTGAAGTTGTTCCTTATCTGCCTACTTATCAACGCTGACTGACAAATAGCTTATTTGTTCGCATACCACCCTATAGAATGAATACACACACACAGTTAGTCGTGTACTTTCACAAATGTCTGTTTGTTTGTCCGCTTGCACATAAGTGTACACTTTTAGGTTATTTGTTTGCTTAGCTTAGTATGAATATATCGAGCAACACGTGCTTTATAAGCGTTCAAAAGATAAGTGTATCATATAAACGTTATGTGCGTAACTTACTATTTCGATTTATTGTTTTCTCTATTTAATGATTAACAAAAGAATTATTTTTACTTTTGTTTTCGTAAACGGTTTACGTATACACGTACGTATGTAAGAGTGGATACGTGCGTGCATGCATGCATATTTGTATGAATGTTTGTATGAATATTTGTATGCATATGTAAATATGTAATAATAATCAATTTTGTGTACGAAAACGATTCATATTATATCCTTTATCTTGTGCATGTGTGTACACAGAAAATTTTTATACATGCTCTCAATGAATTTTACTGCCGTGTTGGAATGCACACATATTATGACCTCTATACAGTGAGTTTTCCCGGCAACGAATAGAAACTTTATTATAACATATTTTTCTCACGCTTATCCCTACACGAATTGTCAGCTCTCGGTCAAATTTTCAATAGTTAACCATTAAGCCTGGAAAGACGTTTTCCATATATCTATTTCTTTACTATGCCGAATTTCATCACAGTTTCAAAACTATAAAGATACAAAGCTAAAATTTGGTACATACATTACTTGATCCACCACGTTCGAGCTCAACGTTAAAAAAATAATTATAATCCGCCCACATTTACGCCTAAGCAAAATTAAAAACTGACATAATCTCGAAAAATCATTGACAATTTTTTTTATATATTTGTCTAAACCTTCGGTTCCATAAGCAAACATATATAAAAGGCTGTGGCGCCGAAATGCTGACCAAAACCGTCGGTATGTTCGATTTAAAGATAGCTTGAATCGATTCACTACCATGTGCACAATTAATGATCAAATTTTGATTCAACTTTAGTTCCAATTTGTTTGTAAATCATTCCTAATTAGGTGACGATCGCGTTAATACGCACAAATGCAAAAAATAGGTTGCAGTTATTTACAGATCTTTCCATCACAAATTCTTCGAACTTTGTATGCTATCTTTAAAAATCAAAAATTTGAACTATGTTGAACTAACCAAGGCGTCAAGTCTAATCTTAAACAAAGCGATACATTTTTCCTTCCAATTCTCGAAATCTTCGGTCTTGCTCCTATAGCTTCAGCTTTGGCTTGTACGCACATACATATATGCTTCAATTGATATGCATATGTGTATATAAATTTTTATATTAAGTAAAATGAAGATCTAATGCTTATCTATTATTCCTAATGGCTAGGTCTGAGCAACGAACGAAAATTCTGACGACAATTTTGATTATGTTATTTGGAAATTTCACGGTATTGCATTGTATTCACTAAACACACTGAATTCCCGCCAAAAGTTGCGTTATCTAGAGCGCATGCTTTTCTCTAACCAATTTTTTTTTTTAGTATTAGCTTCTGTGGGAAACCTTCTGCTTCCATCAAAATAATAACATGAAATCTGCACGCAATAAAATTAAAGGAAATCCCATCTACAATAAAACGCCATCAAATAATAAAAATGGCAGTTGTTATGGAATTTGCTTTTGTTAGCACTCCCACACGCTACAATGGCGCTCTTAACTGAACGCGTTTCATTTCGCATTCTTCCCTGAAAATGGCTGTTAAAAACGAAAAATCTTCTAATCCACACAAAGTATCAATCTCTTAATCTTTTTGATCACATATTTTGAATACTTTATCGACATTTAATTTAAGGGCTAATCTTAGCTGATAAATTTTTCTTTGGCATCATTTCTTTATCATGTTAAATTGCCCCGCGAAATATTCAAGAAAAGTCGAGTTATTTATGCGATAAAAATTTCACTTTGAGATGAAGTCAGCAATTTAAATTGGTTTAAGTACTTTCCGAAACTATGTTATTTGAACTGGGAATTGCAC